AACCAGGTGAGTAAACAGTGAAGAATCCTGCTTTGCGCTGTCATTATGGGCTCCCATGTTCCTTCCTGTCCTATTTCAGTATGTCTGCTTTTCTCTTTCATATATTGGCACATTTTGGATTCTTTATTTTATCCCCTCTCTCTCTGATTGGGTACACTAGAGACTTGTATATTACAGGTTTGAATCCTTTGACTTCTCAATATTGAAATCCTTAGGGCTCTGTTTCGCTTAATAAATTATTCATACTTTTTAACGTCGGTGGTTTACGTAGATAGAGCAAAAGTGTGAGGGAAAGCAAAGGGAAATTAACAGGAAAGCTGAAAGAAACAAATAAAAGCCTTCAAAAGTTTGCCTTAAGAAAAGCTTAAGGTGTCCCAATCATCTGTGAACCTGAACGTGGCATTTTCTAAATACTTTTCCTTCCTTGACATGCTTCTGTAACTTGACTGTCATTTCTTTCAGGAAAGATACCCAAACAACAGTGTGTTCAATGAGGTATATGGGAAAAACCTGACAACCAGCTCCAAAGCAGAACTCAATCCCGCAATGGCCCCCCAGGAAACATCCCTGTACTCCCTGTTTGAAGGGACTCCGTGGTCCCCGTCACTTCCTGCCAGTTCAGGTATTAACTAGTCTTCAAGGAAAGGTAGACCTTGCATTACCAGTAAACTCAAATTGATTAAGAGTTAGAATGATTTTGTCATTGTAAATATATTGTGTTGATTTTTTTTCCTAAGTAACTCCTGAAAGAAAATAGAGAAAAAGCCTGATGAGTTCGTTTACATAACAAATGCCATTGAAAAAGCTTTTTCAGCCCCTCCAGTGTAGCTCAGTGGTTGAGCATTGGAGGTGAAGGTTCAATTCCCAATTAAGGCACATGCCCAGGTTGTGGGCTCAATTCCCAGTATGGGGTGCGCGCGCACGCGTGTGTGTGTGTGTGTGTGTGTGTGTGTGTGTGTGTGTGTGTGTATTTAAGGCTTTTTCATATCCTCAGTAACCAGCAAAACAGCAGAGTTGTAAGGGAGAAAAATACGAGTTCCAAAGGATATCAGCTGTTTTTTAGTTTTGTTTGCAGACATTCATTCTTTGCAGGAAAACTGCAATTTTTAAAAGAGGTTTTTTTAATGCCCATTTTATAAATGGAGTCTGATTTAATAGCAAGTCTTAAAGTTAGACAATTATATTTCTCATATAGAAGACCAATGGGTACTTATGTGGAACAGGTGGTTTGCATTAGTGGGTGCACTTGACAGAATCGTCTCCTGCTTTGTTTCGTTCTGTTTTGGGCAAAGAATGTGCCTCGTTATTTATGTTTAGAGAAACAGGTTCCTACATCTAGCAGAGTCCTTTTGGGGGCCCTTATTTTGCCTTTCCTCCAAAACCCTCTAATTACTTTTAGTAGAATTTAAGTGACCAGATCTACAGGAAACTTTAGTTCTTGGCATGTTTGTGAAACAGCTTATCTATTGAATGTCCTCTTTTGCTATTATTTAATAGATCATTCAACACCAGCCAGCCAATCTCCTCATTCCTCTAACCCAAGCAGCCTGCCAAGCTCTCCTCCAACACACAACCATAATTCTGTTCCATTCTCCAATTTTGGACCCATCGGGGCTCCAGATAACAGGGATAGGAGAGCTGCAGATCGGTGGAAAACTGATAAGCCAGGTGAGACCCAAACTTCACAAAAGTAAAATAGCTTTACTCTGTCTTTCCCTGGTTTGGGGCTTTTGGCAGTGATAAAACGTATTCTTGAATTCCAATCTCTTTTCATCCCTTAGCCATGGGTGGGTTTGGCATTGATTATCTCTCAGCAACATCATCCTCTGAGAGCAGCTGGCAGCAGACCAGCACTCCAAGCGGCACCTGGACAGGCCACGGCCCTTCTGTGGAGGATTCCTCTGCTGTCCTCATGGAGAGCCTGAAGGTGAGTGGATTTCAGGAATAAGAACCACAAGCAATGTTGCTGGTTTCATTCATATAAATAGCTAGGTTATTCCTAAGGCCCCTACACTTGATTAATTAATAGCACATATCTAGCAGAGTTCTGGAAACATGGCCTGCCTTATGAGGTTCTTGAATGGGCTTTTTGTTTTTAATTTGTGAATTCACTAGTGACAAAGCATTATCTTCAGGGGCAGAAGCACAAAGGTCCTAGTTGCATTCTAAGTTTAAGAACATTCTGATTCATCTTGGAATGTTTGATTTAAGCCTTTTCTGAACAAGTAAAAGAACAGCACCTAACAGTAAATACTCTGGTCCCCACGTGGAACTGAGTTTAGTAAAAGACTTCATCTCAAACGTACTTTCACCTTTTCTGGTCGGGGGCTAACTGGTCCTGAGGACAGTCTTTTCTAATGGCTGGATTTTTTTAGGGGGTGGGGATCTTGGGACATTGTGCCTTTATGTTTGGCTGGGATTGAAGAACCAATCCTTTCAGACAACCAGGCCTGTGAGCTCTACTGACAAGCTCTGGGCTGTCTTTCAGTCCATCTGGTCCAGTTCCATGATGCACCCTGGCCCATCCGCTCTGGAGCAGCTGTTGATGCAGCAGAAACAGAAGCAGCAGCGGGGACAAGGCACCATGAACCCTCCACACTGAGGCTGGGGTGGCAACCTGGCAATGAGGCTCCATACACCATGGCATGTTGGGTTTGCAGGACTGGCCCACAGCCCCTGCAGGTGGCAGCCCTCTTCTCTGTGTCTTGCCGTTGAGAGGGTGTAAGTGTTCCACCGGCCCGCTGAGTGTGCACGAAATGTCCGCAGTGCAACCAAAAGAAAAACCATCAGGAACTCTCCGTCCCCCCGGGCCTCCGGAGGGAGAGAGGAACTGCTGTTTGTCTCACTCAGTTACCTGATAGCACTGCCTCTCGCCTTCTCCATCGTGCATGTCCCCAGCCACATGGGAAGTGAAAGCTGAGAAGGGAAGGCAGGTAGGAGAAGCCAGTGGGAACTTCTCAGTCCTTTTTTCCTCTTTGGGGAATAAAATAGGAATCCATTAATGATTGCTTTGCTGACTGAGAATGTAGTTGAAATTATTCCTAAACATCTTTTATTATTGTTATACTCTCAGTAGTAAAAAGTCACACTGAATTCTTCCATACACAGATGTGCTGCTTCTAGTCAGTGTGCAGCAAGGGAAGCCCCGTTCACTTCTTGAGAGGTTGGTGGTGACAGGATGGGGAAGCGGACCTCTTCGGCCAGTGGCAGTGTTCCATAGGGAGAGTACAAGGCCTCGCCTTCACTCAGAAGGTTCCGGTAGGCCCTCTTCTGGCCTGGAGACTCCAGCAGGAAATGCCCTTCACTCTGTAGGTGCTCGAGCCCCACTCGAGGGTGCAGTGTGGGTGGTGGTGCTGGGCTGGACCAGCAGGTGGCTGCTGTAGGGTTTAAGTGGACGTTTTTGATTCCTGTACATTTTGCAGTAGCAGAGCAAGCAGTCTCCCAGAAGGCAGGCTAGTCCATTCATGGCCTGGTGTTACTAGGTAGAAGCTTTCAGTGTGGTTATTTTTTGTTTGGTTGGTTTTTGTGCCCCTATCTTATCTACCCCCACACCCTCCCATCCTACCTCCATCCCTTTCCTACCCTATGCTACATGCTAGTCATTGTTTTTATTCCTAATGTGTACAACATCACGCCAAGAAGCAACAGAAGGGGTCCAGCAGCTGGGGCCCAAAAGACAGTCTGAAGAGGAAGGAGCGGCGGCTGTGTAGCCCAGAGGGGCCAGGCCCCCCACCAGCTGCAAGCTCCCAGCCTCCACCTTCAGAGTGAAACTCGAGGCAACATGGACACATGTGCATCATGCACAGAAGAAAACACAACGAAGTCCATTCTGGAAGAGGTGGAAGAAAGGAAAATAAGCTTTTATTTGATATTTATTAGAAGGAAAGAGGACTGAACATTTTCTTGGGTAGAAACAGGACAGCATTTCTGTTAGTCATTTCCTGGAAAAGTAATATTTTAAGGGGAAATTATGGAAACAATCCAATTGCTGTGCTAGTGGTAGGGTTTATTTTCCAGGAGGTCTCTCCTTTGTGCACGTGAGAGAGTGTGCACGCACACGCCCACCCGCTCTCGGAGGGGGTGGTGTGTGGTTAGTGTGGGACTTGAGAGCTAGAAGGTGGCTACAGAACAAAGCACATCCCGAGCCCGGCTCACTGGAGTCTGGGCAGCCCCAGCAGTGAAAGGGGCGGGGCGTAATGCTCATGGCTCTTCAGAGAGAGTGGGTGGAGTCCCGTGTGCTTACATTATTGCTCTCTCAGTTTGACATGGTGTTTGGGGTTTTTTGTTTTTTCTTTTTTTTTCGAAGGTCTGAAAGGGTGAAGCCCCCCCTCCCCTGAATCCAATGGCAATATGAAACCCTTTGTGCTTCTCTCCTGCCCCTTCCTGTGTCCACCTTCTCCAGTCCCTCCCTCCCAAGCCTCCTCCCTGCTGCCTTTCCCCACTCTGTGTGTTTGAGCCCCACATTCAGGCAGCTGCGACATTCCAGTGTGTGAACTGTCACCCATTCTTGCACCCTAGACCAGCTCATCAGGTTCGCCGTCGCTCCCAGGAGCGCCCACGTCCCCTCTGCAGCCCCATTTCTGCATGAGCATTTGGTGTTTGGAATGTTTTCTGATTCTCGGGCGGGTTCCTCACCTTATCATCCTCCGTGTGGAGTAATGAGGAAGGAGAGGAGAATCTTCATCAGAAACTGGTTTTGTGTAGTAAACCTTCTTTTGTGTTTTGTTTGTTTTGGGTTTTTTGTTTGTTTGTTTAGGTCTGTCTGTGCAAGACCTGCAGCTGCTGAAATCAGCTTTGCCTTTAATTAAACCATGTTCTCTCCAACCAGATCTGTGTACAGATGGTTTCTTTTCTACCCTAAAATCAAGACTTGGGAACGACTCAGAAGTCATATAGAGGAAAGCAGAGGTGGTCAGAAGTTGGATATGCTTCAGGGTTACTTTTGCTTTTAGTAGCTTTCCAAACCAGCATGCATTAGTATGGAAAGGGATGAGGAGAAAGAAACTATCAAATTCTTTTATTTAATAAATAAAGAATACTTATGCAAAGGAGTTAACATATCCACCAGTTTTATCCCTAGTCTCTCTGTTAGTAAGGCAATTCACTATAGAAGTCACTACGTCTGACTGGCAGCAACAGTAATTAATAATTATTCTTAGCTTTGGGGTTGCATTTCTTCAAGTTGTGTCCAAAATGTCCAGTGGCAGCCTGCTGGGCCTTCCGCCCTAGGTGTTGATTCTGTCTGTACCTCACCTACACACTTGAAAAATTATTAAATTATGGACACAGGAAGGGGCAGGAGAGAAGCACAAAAAATTATACTCACAAGAAATGGGCGGATTAAGGCCAGGCCTAGTATCTATGGAATCCTTCAAGTTAACCCTAAAAACAGGCCACTGGTTTACATGATAACCAAGGTAAGGCCACAGCATTCTATCATGCGCATTAATGTTGTACGGGATGTTAACTAATAGGATACTGTTAACCAACTGGCTGCCTGAACGTGGCTTCTTTTCTTTAAGTCTCTGTGGCAAATTTTCCTATTAAGCTCTTAAGTGTTTCTCTGAGAAAACATGAAGGGATGTAATTCTAGTCATTCCATGGGAAACTCAGTCAGTCTAGCAACAAGACTTAAAAGTTAATTTTGTGCGCGTGCCTCCTGAATTACCTGTAGGTTAGTCAGGCCCCAGTAGTCTGATGGTGAACAGGAATAGTTATTTACGGTTAGGCCTTAGGCCTGCATTCTGAGTGCGTTGGGTTTTTATTTCTATCACACATACAGAGAAGTGCAACAATGATAACTGCAACTCTGCATTTTTCACAAAGTGAACACATCTGGGTAGCCGTACTCTGAGCAAAAAACAGCACCTGGGACGCCCCCTCATGCCCTTCCAGACACTTCCAACCACTCTCCCCCTCCCCCCGCCCGCCCCACCCCAAGGTGTTCATAATCCTAAATTCTCACATCATTGTCTAACGGGAAAGTAGATTAGTTAACACTGGACCGTGTACCACAGAGGCGTCCTAAACCTTACAAATGCGATGATAGTTTTTTCCTCCCGCTCCATAGGTTGTGAGGCATCCTAGACTCCCCTGGGAGTGCTGTCCGGGTCTGTGGCTGCACGTTCTTCAACAAAAGCCTTGGGGAAAATGCCAAACTTCCCTTTGCACTCCCCTTCCAGCCACTCGTCGTTCACTGGTGAAGGGAAAGCAGAGACTGATTTCTAAAACCAGTACAGGAAAATGGCCCCGCTTACTGCACTTTAAGAAGCACTAAGAACACTTACTGTTTCAGTTCTTAATGTGTTTGATTCCTTGCAGAATTAGGGAAGCCACCAGGTACACAGAGTAATTCTGAATAGCTGCTTGTAAGACAGAATGTACCCCCTTCTACTCTCATCTTCAAAAGTACATATGTCCAAAGAACTACGGTATGCAGAAGATGGGTATCTTACGGCTTGGTGCCAAGGCAAAATGGTGCCAGCCACCTTCCAATCTGTTAACTCGGAAGGATAATCCGTGGCTTCTGAAGCGTAGACATCTTTAAATGTGAATGTACTGAAGTGTCATTTACTAGTAAGTTGCCATTTGTTGCTTCCCTGCCCATTAGGGCAACAAACGGAAAAGCTGAGCACTGGGTTTTGCTCTCTCCAGCTGAGAGCAAAGAAGGAGATTGAGACCACTGGCTCAAGCTTCGTTTGTAGGTGAGTGATGTTTTCTGCCTCTGCCCTTACGTTTATTTCTGCTAACATGGACATTAATTTCTATAATCCAGGAGCAGCACTTACCCATGGACACAACCTGGATTATGTCCCCTTCCAGGAACTCCAGGTCTTCTGGCTGGGTAGCCTCGTAACTGAAGATCGCTACCACTTGGCTCCCTTCCTTCAGCTGAGGTTCCAATGTCTGGCTGTTGGCATCCGATTTCTCACTTTCCTTGGCCTCATCTGGAAAGCCTTGGTCACCCTGAAATAATAAAGGGCCAGTTAGTTTTCCTAACTTCCTGCACAGTGAACAGTGGACATCATCCCTGAAGGATTCGGTCAGAGAAATGTCAGTAGCACCTGGATATAAACTCAGCGGCAGATTTGGGATCGGTGTCTAACAGACCTAACATGTACTCTATAAATACTGGCCGGTTGGATAAATGAAACAAGGTCTGCAGGACCACAGGTAGTCGTAAAATCTTAGCTAAAACGTACAGTAATCCTGAATAGGTACTATTCTTTTCAGATAGAGAAACAGGTTGAGTGACCAGTAAATGATAGAATGCAAAGTCAAACCTAGGTCTCTGAGTCCGACACCCTCTCCCCAGCACTCACAACGCGGGACCTTGAAATGCACATTTTCAGCTCCATCCCAAGCCTATTGGATCAGATGGGGCTCAGCAATCTGTTTTCACAAGCCCTCTAGGGAATTCGGGTGCATGCTAAAGTTGGGCACGATCCTATCCAAGGCCAAGACCATTATGGTCATTTTTGTCCCACAGATGTTAAGGGAAGGATGTAGTTTCTAGAGATGTGAGTCATAGGATTTAAGGAATCAGTGTTAGAAACTGCTAGGCTCAGTGCTGGGCTGTGTTAGAAGTTGTCGTTTCCTAGTGCTATTGGCTGCAACCCTGGCAGGTCCTCTGTATGGAAAGGCAGTACCATAAGGTAGAAAGGGCCAGGAGTCCAAAGACTAGGCTTGTATCCCAGCACCACCGCTTCCCAGCAGTGTGACCTCTCTGGACCTGTTTCCTCACCTGAGGTTGAGGCTAGAAGAATTAAATGAGGGCCTGCTAGATGTTGAATTGCTGCTGAGGACGTGGCCCATGACCTACCGCAGTGCCCTCAGGCTCACTGCACTCACCACTGTGTTCTCACACCACAGAGTCAGGCAGTAGTTTCTCACTTGGCCCCAGGCAGCCTTCATGCTGTCCTCCGAAAGGGGCACTAGCTCCTGGCTGTCCCCGGACCGATAGCTGGGTGGAGATAATGAGTAAGAACCAAGTCAGAGAAGTCAGTGCAAAACCATCTTCTTCTGTCCTCTAGGCCAGCGCCAGGTCCCCAGCTGTCCCCTAACGGCCACCTGCACGGCGCTCACCTCAGCTTGGTGTGTTCCGGCAGGAGCTCCAGTTTCTTCGACACCATGTCCCGCACCTGGCTATAGGGGAGTCCGGGCTGGGTCTCCATGACCACCGTGTACTTGTAGTGCACCTTGAGTGTGTAGAGCATGGGAACACTGAGCTTTATGTCCTGAGGGGAGAGGAAGCAAAGGGAACGCATGAGTGTGCTTCCTCTTAGCAACCTCCTGGCTCGCCACAGCTTTACTGTAGCACAGGGAGGACTATGTAGCCGGGAGAGGCCAACACGTAACTGGTTTCAGTAAGTAATGTGAAGGGTCTTCGGAGGTCGTCTAGCCCAGCTCTTGCTTGGGCAGGAATTCCTACCCAGGGAGATCCGGCCCACCAGCTACGGGCCAGCAGGAAATGTGTACGAGGGGATGGGGCGGGAGGTTGTGGAGGGGTCCCCAGGGCATGGCTGTGAGCGTGGTGGCACTGGTCGGCCCGCCCTTTGGGGCTATTTTCTATCCAGGGACACATGCCCGTGGTGGACAGCCCACACTCTCCCGTTCTCTACCACTTGAAATAGTACGAGGCAAAATGTTACCTTGGGCTCTTCGTTTTCTTTCTGACCTAAACGGAGAAGGGAAGGAGTGAAAAGAGAAGATGAATGGACACTCTTGACCAGCCCCTTTCATACTCAGAATGAAACCTCTTAGAACAGGGCACCCAACGTCATACCCTTTCATCTCTAGGGTAACTATTAACCTTATTGTGGGGACATGTGAAGAGCAAAGCCATGAATGCACACAGGAACCCAGTCTCTGCTTCCAGGGAGCTATGGGTAATTATCAAAGGACTGCCTATCCTCACCAACCCCTGGGGTCAGCAGGGTGGAACCAGGGCCTCCAAAGCAAAGACAAACAGGGAATGGGAGGTGAGCCAGGGGCCACAGAAGAAATGTTAGATAGAACTACTTATTTTTACCTTATCCTTTATTTTTGTGTATGTTTTCAATGTGTATAATATATTGATATGGCAAGATGCATATCACTTATATACAAGAAGTATTCATAACTACACTATGGGGGATTCATAATAACAATAATAATAATAAAAGACCACTGATCTCAAACCAAGCTTGACTTAAAATCACTTGGGAAGTTTTTTTGTAGAAATACAGATTCCTAAGCTAATTCCAGGTCTAAAATATCAGAATAAAGAAACCTAGGGATTTGTACTGTTAAATCTTCCTAGGTTAATAGGTGATCCCTGATAGGCCCCTAGACAGAAAAAGATACCAAAAAGCTAGCAAGGATACTTTGGAGGATAATCAGAGTAATTGAATATGCAATATACTAGTACATTCTATAAAATTGTTAAATGTCCTGGGTGTAACAGTTGAATTGGGGTTATAGAGAAGAATGTCCTTGCTCTTAGGAGATACATGCTGACGTGTGGGGTGAAGTGTTATAAATCTGTAAGTGGCTCAATCACTCGGAAATATATGTGTGTGTGTATACATACATACATATATATATAGAGAGAGAGAGGAGCAGGGCAAGTGTTAACAGTTGGTGACTTTAGGTGAAAGGTATTCTGGTATTTTTTGTACCATATTTTCTGTGGTTTTGACATTTTTCTGAATAAAAACAGGTGTGGGGAGCATCCAGGGGATTCCGATGACCTGGTGGGTGTGATGATCACTGGATCTCTACCAAACACTCAGAATCTGCTTAAACTGCACTCGTGGCAGAAAGCAAGCCCGTTCCTCCCGAGGCAGCAGCGCTCTCCACTCAGCGGGAGGGTCTCCCCTGCCCGTCTGCCCCTGGGTCCTTTGTCTGTCCTGGAGGCTCTGCAGAGAATTTCTTTTCCAGATAATAGAGCTCCTGAGGCCTTTGAAAAGAACCCTCCCGACCCCTCTGTGGTAAACGAGCAGTTACTTCACCGTGGTTTCAGTGTTGACTGAGGGGTTTGGTGACGACTTGGGACACTCGCTACCCCCCCCCCCCAGCCCCATTTACCCAGGCCCCGTGGGTGTTCTGCAGCAGGCGGGGGAAGGGGCGTCTCTTTCCTGTGCGCTGGGAGGGTGGGTGGCTAGAGCAGGAGACGGGGCTCTGGGGCTGAGTGGCCATGAGCTGAGTGGCTTGCTGAGAGGAAAAGAAACCAGTATTTCCTGCAAGCAGCTTGGAGGGTTCCTTTCCTGCAAGCAGCTTGGAGGGTTCCTTCGTTGCCCCGGATGTCGCTCCAAGGACACTCACCTGGTGACAGCTGGGGTCTTCGGACTCCGGGGAGGCATCGTCCTGCTCAGGACAGGAAGAGATGGTGAGAACTTTCATCCTGACGCAGTTCTTAGGCCAGAGGAGGAGTCGGGGAGGGGGAGACCCGCAGACCCCAGGAAGAGAGCCAAGTGCGAATGACTTCCTAAAGGCAGGGGTGCTGGTGACATGGAGGGGACCGGGGAGACGAAGGAAAGTGGGTTAAAAGCGGAGGCAGGGTGGGCCTGGTGGAAACAAACCACCGTAGAAATAAGAATCCACCCCTCCTCAAGGCCCCTGCTGCCTAATCGCCCTCATTTAAACCTTTTCCAGTCATTAATGCCACGATTCCAACCAGGGAGGACCAGGCCCACACGGGACACCTGCGGCACTGCCCAGCCATCTACACTCCGCTCAGGCCCAGCAGGACGGCAGGCCCGTGAGGGGCAGTGGAGGGGCTGGTAGCAGCTCCAGAGCAGTGCTCTAAAGCAGACCTATCTCCCCGCGCCTCTCTTTCCCCCTCTTCCTCTCCCTCTCCTTCCCCCTCTCTCTCTGTGGCATTTCACCAAGCAACACTTTGACTATTTTTCCAGGTGAAGAGGACATTTCTGGGAAGACCTAACCTTCATATGTTGTGGGCATTGGGTCCTGTGACCAGGAGGAATCACAAGGTGGGTGGGCCCAATCAGTCCCAAAGACCTCCTGCTCAGCACATCTGGGCTTTCCCCTCATCCCAGGTTCTGCTCTGGGCAGCTGGTGCCACTCCATGGGCTCAGGACCCATGACTCTTTCTTCAGTGATGGTGACGATGGTGACGTTTCCAACACGGTTCTTCCCCCTCCATGGGGAGGTCATCAGTGGTTGGGGGGCGGGGGGGGTCAGGCCTTGGTGCCACTTACCTGGGGCTGCTGCTGAGGTTGGATCCGCAATTCCACGGGTTCGAGGAAGTTGCAGGGAACAAGCCCCTTCTGCAAAGAAGGTAGCAGATAGGGGTTCTCAGAAAGCTCTGCCGTTTGCTGCCAGGATTCCATACCCCCAAGCCACCCCCAGGTCCCCTGAATACCTGCCCGTTGAACATGACCGTGGCCCAGTTGTCACTGCCCTTCTTCAAGACAAAGACGATGTTCCCGGGCTGGACATGGAGCTCCTCTGGTGTCTCGGGCACAAACCCGAACAGCACACGGTGCGCCTCCCCTTCCAGGGCCCTGAGGGGTAGACACAAGATCCCGTCCACTCTCTGGCCTGGAGCACATCCCCTCCCGGGAGACTGCTCCAGACACCCTCCAACTCCACGTCCAACTGTCTGTGTGACTGAGCAGGCACGTGCCTCCCTGGGCACCCAGGAGGGCGCAGTAGGGACTGTATGTGAACCTGCTTCCCAGCCATCTATGCAGTGGGACAAGAATAAAAGAAAACCGTGTGGATATAGAGGCCTTGCGGTCCTGCCCTCCCTTCCCTGGGGAGGAAGGCTCCTGGTGTGCCTGGCCAGCTCCCATGTCTGGGCCCGGGTGGAAGGCAGGTGAGAGCCAGCTGGGCGAGCAGAGCAGTCACCTGGAGCCAGTGAGGGGTCAGGCAGGCACACGGACGGGGATGAGGTGCCTGCAGGGGGAGCTCTGAGGAGTAGGGGTGTGTGTGGAGGTACTGAGGCTGCCCACTGTGAGCTACACAAGGTCATTTCCTCCCTTCCTACTTAGCTCTTCAGGGCGCTGGGGCGCTTCGGCATGTGTGACCAAGAGGCCGGCTTCAGGTGGCGATAGTTTCACGTTCCTCCGCTCGCTCCCCGCTGGCACTGTCCCCTCGCCCTTCTTTTGTTCCCGACCCTTGTGTCTATTTACACAGACGCCTCCAGCAGACAGTTAGGAATGAGCTCACCCAGGCCCCCCATTTTTATAGCTGCTCTGGAACTTTTTTCACTCTGTTTTAAACCTCTTTTGGGTGGGGAGCGAGGCTAACTTCCTCACTGAGACGCAGTTCTTACGAAAGCTGTGCTTCTCATCTTACAGGAGAATGACTTCTTTTTCTTGAGTCCTTCCTCTTCTTCAGAAAACATGTGCCAATAGGGAGTGAAAACAGCCCTTCTGGCTCCCACGCTGCTCGCCGGACTCCAGAGCTCGGCCCCCTGCAGCCCTAGGCCAGCGTTCCCCCGCTGGGAGGGGTGGCTGCGTCCCATGGGACACTCCTGCCATTCAGCAACAACCTCTCCCTGTATGGTGGCTGTGCTCATGGACAGGGGACACGGGGACACCACGTAGCGGTAGCCAGGCCCCCAGCGTCTTCTCCACCCCCGCCACTCCCATCGGTCAAGGCTTGGAGCTTGGCTCGTCGACCTGTTGATCTAACCCTAACTTACCTGAAGATCTCGGGGGTTTTGGGTCTGGGTGGAGGCTCCGCTGCCTATTGAACATCAAAGAGATGAAGACGGGCAGGACACGAAAGAAAGAAAGAGAACAGACTGTTAATGTCACTGCAGCCTTCTTTCCGACCAGAAAACCAAAGACGGCATTTGTGGCTCCATCAGAACACCGCCCCGGGAGAGGCACAGTGCACCGGACTAAACACTGGAAAGGAACGCCCGCCCGCTCCCAGGCCGGCATCACCAGCACAGCAGCTCGTCCTGGGCCAGACCTGGTTCCGGAGAAGTTGGTCTGTCGCAGAGCAGCATGGCGTCACGAGGATGCCTTTGACCTTGAGCTCTGCCCTTTGTTGGGGCGGTTTCCAAAAGCTCTGTTCTATAATTAATGTCTGCTCTGTCACATGACACTGGTGGGTGTTTAAAATCGACTCCAGAGCCACCGACCAGGCGAGACTCTCCTTTCAATGTGCGTTTCCTGTTCTACACCGAGCACCACGGAATCCAGTTACCTGGCACCTGCTCCTCTTGGAGCCGTCTGGCTGCTCGAAGCCCAAGGGCCTTCTGAGAGGTTTCCCGCAATTTAGTGTGAGAAAGATCAATGCATCTGGACTCTGTTCTCCTCTGCTCATCTCAGCCTTCAAGCCCCAGCACTGGTCACATTCGGGGCCAGTGGTCACCGTTCTGACCCGGGCAGGCTGTCGGCAGTGCCCTCGGAGCCCCGGCCCTGTCAGTGCTGACCAGCGCTCCTGCCCATCATGGGTCTCTGGCAGCAGAGCCCAACTCCTGCTCTGCCTGTCTTACCCTCCTCCCTCACGAGGAAGCTCTGCCTTCGCATGGACCCCTTGCCATCCAGTTCACTGTGGGCACCCTCCCTGTGTTCCCAGGGGAACCCCCTGCACACAGGCCAATAGGTGCTGCCAGGAGAGCTCAGGGCCTCAGGCCCCAGCCCCCGGGAGGCCCCTAGCAGCCCCTGTGCCCGAGAAGAGGACTCGTTCAAAGGCCTCTGGCAGCTTGCATTTCAGTCGAAGCTTCAGGAGAGACAGTCCTCAGCTCTCCTAGACCTTGAGAAGGGGAGGCTGGCACCGGGGGCAAGCGGGAGGGTTTGTTTCTTGAGGACTTGAGGCTGATTAAGCCTCCAACTGCTTCATGCCCCACCCTGTGGGCAGGCTCTTTTGACCAAATGAGCCTGGAGCCTGTGACAGGAATGGCCAGCGGGACCCTCAGAAGCACTGTGAGGCCAGTGCAAGGAGCCCTTGAGGTGAGGCAGCGGAAACGCCCTCCCGTGGGAGTCCCACAGAGCCCTCCCCGTGGGGCAGTCCCACAGAGCCCTCCCGTGGGCAGTCCCACAGAGCCCTCCCCGTGGGAGTCCCACAGAGCCCTCCCCCACTCTGGGACCTCGGTCCACGGAGCAGGAAGCACCCTCACCTGCGGCTGCAGAGGGGCAAATCCCGAGAAGCTGTCTTGATCCACCACAGAAGCCACCACCTGAAATCGAGGAAGTGGGGTGAGGGCTCTGCCAGCACTGTTTCCCTATCTGCCTATGGCCCCCGATTTCCCCTCCTTCCTCCCAGCCCGATCCATTCCCACTGGCTCGGTCCCCGAGACCAACATCCTGCGAGTCACCCTGCGGCCCCCGCCCAGGGGCAGGCGGAAGGGAGGAACGAGAGGAGCCTGGAGAAAACAAACTAGAAGCGCCTTTCAGCAAGACCCCACGCTATAAACAGTCTCTCCTTGCCATCCCAGGGCAGAACCACGTGGGGTGTCCTTTTCAAAGTCCCCCCCACACACACATATTTTGCTCCCCATGGCCCAGGCCTTAGGAGACGCCAGGGAAGCTGAGAGCCACCTACCGTAGCCTTGCCCAGGTAATCCTTCTTCACCAGCTGGGCCACCTGCCTCTCATTTGGTCGAAAGAGCCTGCCCACAGGGATCACCACCGGCTCGTACAGCTTCTGCTTCTAGGAGGCAGAGAGCACAGTGTCTCCTTACCATACAGCCAGGTAACGAGCTTGCCCTGCTCCCTCCCTGAGTGCACGCAGGGATACAGCCAGATAACCTCACAAAAGCACCTTTTCTAAACGTGTAGGGATGGAACTTGTTACTGTTTCAGGGTGTCTCGGGTAGGCGTCACCTTTCCTGAGGGACTGTGTGGACCTGTTGGTGTTATTTGCCCAGCACCCTTTCCCCGGGGAGCTGCCCCTCTCCCACTCTGTGGGACTTGGATGGGGCTGTCACTCCAAGTGTAGGAGGCGCCGCCACCACCACTACCAGACCGGCCAGAACAGTGCTCTCCTGGGACCAGTGTCTGCTGACGGCATGTTTGTTATTATTTTTTGTTAATCCTCACTGAGGACATTTTTCCCACTGATTTTTATAGAGAGTGGAAGGGAGGAGGAGAGACAGAGAGAGAAACATTGATGTGAGAGAGACACATCGATTGGTTGCCTCCTGCAGGCTCTGTGACCAGGGCCAGGGATTGAGCCTGAAACCGAGGTAGGTGCCCTTGACCGGAATGGAACCCATGACCGTTCAGTGGCAGGCCAATACTCCTGAGGCAAACGGGCGAGGGCAGGCAGGCATGTTAAGACAGACCTGTGCCCTCTTGTTCCGATGTTTTAAAAATCTGATTTAAAAGGAGCTTCATCCCAAATGTGCTCAGACAAGCTACGGATAATTTTCAGCATTTGTCCATATCATCAGTGCATTTTTGTTGAGAGCCATCTTATGTGCCTGGCACTGAGCTAGGCTACCAGGACTCAACGGTGAGCAAGCAGAGCAGGCACAGCCTCTGCCCTTGCTTGGCTCCAGCCTCCTGCTCCCCGCGTGTGCCACAGAGCCCCACTTGGGGGCGGCCTGGGCAGGGCTCTGCTGTCCTATACTCCAGGCCTCGGCTTCTGATCACTTCCAGATTCAGAATCCTGCGTGGAGTTACACCCCCAGACGAGTGTTCTCCAGGACTCAGAGGAAGTAAAAGCACCACGTCCACAGTTTCTCAATCCATGTGCCCACTGGAACAAACCCAGATCCAATGACGTCCTCCCCGCACCCACATCTCCAGGGCGCTTACCCACACACACTCCATGGCTTTGTCAATTTTGGAATGTCTCGGTTCCGACTTCATGCTCATAGCCAGTGCTAAGTGTTCTTCGGCCTTTTTCCATTCCTCCTTCTTGGCGTGCATGAAAGCAATGTTATATAACACCTAGAAAAGCACAGGCCACACCGTAAGACCAGGGGCTGCTCCAAACCCAGGCACCAGGAGGAGCTGGCATGATGCCTGGGGACATTTCTCCCCCTCCCAGCTCTCCTGGGAATGTCTGAAATAGACATCCATCTTGCTACAGACTCATGCCCAGCACACGGACAGGGTTGAGTGAACATCACGTAATGCATACATCCAACATCGTGTACAGGTTTTGACAGCCAAGTAGGTCGGGGGAAACAACTATTGTGTTGCTTTAGTATCAAGAAGAGTGACAGGCTCAAGACCCCTTGAAGAGCTGGGAATAAAATACATGTGTGCGGCCTCTCAAACACCTCCTGCCGCTGAGCCTGGGCTGAGAGACTGGACAGGTGCAGAGTGGGGAGGAAGAGGATTCCAGATGCATCGTCCTGCTCCAGCACCCGCAGACCCTGCCTGGGACAGGGCACTAGCAAGACTGAAACAGTCATATGGGAATGAGGATGCTCTATGGGCCACCGCTGGGAAGAGACTCAGCCCAAGCCTAGGGCAGTGCCTCACCCGAGGCGGGAGGGAACAGCCCATTCACCAACAGCCATACTTTTCCAGGTCTTGAGTTGGGTGGTAGGTTTATGAGTTTTATTATTATGCTTCACAACTTACACATAGAATCACATAGTCTTTTAGATGCATCAGCAAGATTAAAAACAAAACCCCCCCCCCAAAAAAATACCACACACACACACACTAAAAAACACCACCAAACTCCCTTCCCAGGTTATTTCTGGGCCTCAATGAGCAGTTGCTCCTGCATCCACACTTGGCTGGCCCGGCCCTCCCTTGACTGTGTGTGCAGGAAGAAAGGAAAACTCAAGGCCCTTTAAAACTTCCTCTTTCACCTCAGCCCCTTTCTCTGTAGACCTTTTCCACACCAGGTTTTTATGACTCCATGACTGGAAAAGGTTGGGCCTCCTTTTAAAAAGGATGGTGGGGTTTCTCAGAGCCAGGGTTCTACCCTGGGGAAGGCAAGGGGGGTTATAAGCAGGGGGATGACTGGAGGGTCCCAGGTGGCAGAGGGGCCTTGGACCCTGAAAAGCCCAGCGTCCCTTGTAGAGAGGCCCGTGCACACCCAGCATTTCCTGCCCAGGTCACCTCAATGCCAGTTGTAGGAGGAGCTTCCTCCCGTGGAGCCTTGCTTCGATGCCACTGTTTCATGGTCCTCTCTAGAGCAGTGGTTCTCAACCTTCCTAATGCCGCGACCCTTTAATACAGTTCCTCATGTTGTGGTGACCCCCAATTTCATTGTTACAAATTGAACATAATTAAAGCATAGTGATTAATCACAAAAACAATATGTAATTACATGTGTTTTCTGATGGTCTTAGGCGACCCCTGTGAAAGGGTCCTTCCACCCCCAAAGGGGTCGCGACCCACAGGTTGAGAACCGCTGCTCTAGAGCTACTTGGTCCCCCAGCCCTTACAGCTATATAAGTGGTTCTCGCTCTGGGGTGATTGGCCATACCTAGCGATGTTTCAGGTTGTCACACTGGGGGTGGGGGGCGACAGGCCTCTAGTGAGTAGAGACCAGGGATGCTGCTAAACATCCTACAATACACAGGACAGTGCCCTACAGCCAAGAACGACCTGGTCCAGCATGCCCACGGTTGAGAAACCCTATTGTAGCAGCTGGTCAAATGGCAGGCAGTTCCCACCGCAAAGCCTCATTGCCCTGGCCTGGGAGCAGTGAAGGAAGCCGCTAGCCTGCCGCAGGGCTGGGTGTCCCCAGGGGCCTGGGCAGCTGCTGGCGCTATTATTAGCCCCGGGCGACCCTGGAAACACTTGGCTTCTCCCGCTGGAGAAACTAAAACAAGGAGACTTTCTCCAGTGATTCTTCTAAATAAAGATCTGTGACATTTGCAGGGATTGTAGTTTTCAAAGCTAGTGGAGTATTTGAGATTTAAGAGGGACGTGGAGAGGGTGGGTTGGAAAAAGTACGCCAACTTTTGAAATCCAAGTCATGTTTCTCCCTTTTAGTGGGACAGAATAAGTTCTCCTTCTATGGAGAACTTTCCTAAATTGGTGCTTTGAGCTGTTCTTTGACCGAGAGGGGACAAACTTGTGTGAAAATATCCCCACGTTCTCTTTGGGTATCAACCAAGTACATGAGGCCAGAACCATTAATAGCAAAGAGCGTGGTCTGTACCTCGGGAACTGAGCAAGGTCAAGGCAGGTCCTACACGGATAGAGACTTGGATTTGTTAGTATAATGCCAGGCGAACAGCTTGTCCACCTGAGTGATGCAAATTATCCTGGATACTTTCACAGGCCCACACGCTCCTGCCCAGGCTGGGCCCTGCCTCCTCACCTCACAGGCAAACAGCTTGAACTGCAGCCCCAGGATCTTGTAGTCTATCAGCTGGTTGCCCCGGAGCTGAGCCAAGGCCTCCTTCAGGTCTGTAATCGCTGAATCATACCTGCAGGGCAGAGGGAGAAAACAAACCAGTCCCGGGCCTGGAGGAAAAACTGCAGAATTAAATGTGTCTGTGTCCCTTTCTCCATCCGTCTCCCTGGGACGGAGCCTTTCTAACCCTCTAGGTTTGTGCCAACCCTGAGCCCTAGTTTTCTACAGAACTCAGGGTGCAGGCACCCCCTGGGGTTGACACAGGGACGCCGCTCAGAGAGGCCCCTCTCACAGCCGCTGGCATCTCCCTCCTGCCCAGAGCTTTCTCCTTGGCTTCTTTTGAGTCCAATTTAGCTCTTGGTTTTGTGGTTGCTTAGTCTCCCCCACCCTCTCTTTGGAAAAAGAGAAACCACCGTGGAGCAGAGAGCATGTCTAACCCTGCTCTGCACGTCCCTGTACTTGCTCGGATGGGCCTTGGGCTGACAGGGCTGCGGTGGTGAAATCGTGGCAGAGAATGGGGCTGCTCTCGTGAGTAGAGACCAGGGATGCTGCTGTGCCCACATCAGCAGTGCCCACGGTGGTGTGGCCAGGACCCGGACCACATCTCCTCGGCCTGCCCCTGACCTCCCTGCCCTGGGGGGGGGGGGGGGGGAGCTGTTGCTGACCTGTCGGGTGTGGGGTCGGGGAGCAGGGAAAAAAACAAGCTACCCACACCCCTCAGGCCCCTGGCCTAGAAGGAACAAATCTGGCTGCTGGTTGTGGCTCCCACGGGCAACGGAACCACAAGTCCCCAGGCCATGACCTAGAGCAGCCATGTGTGGCTTTTCTTGGAGGCAAGCCTGGGATTTGGCTCCGGCTGCTGGGGACTCGCAGGAGGTGGTATGGTGTCGTGAAGACGCCCTCGGACAGCGGCCAGGAGACTGGGGCCAGACCGATAGCTCTGCCACCAACCGGGAGACCCTGGCAACTTCCTGCCCTCAGGCTCCCAGTCCACAACATAAGGAGTTATTGTGTACCGGGAGCATATTATATTCAGGGAGCATAGAGTATGAGGAGCTTGCTGGTAGGTGGTCCCGGATCTAACTTCTGGAGTCAAAACCACATGGACTTGACTCCTGGCTCTGCCACTTACTACCTAATGACAAAGGGCAAGTTGTTTAATTTCTCCAAGCCTGTCTCCTCATCCTCAGAGCTCCAAAACGCTGGCAATTGAATTCACATGCCAGCCATTTAGTATTTGCTTCGCTAACACCTGGACTGTAGTAAGTATCATCAGGAGGTGAAAACACACCGTTGCAGAAGCTGGAACTCTGACCTCAGGGAGCCGGAGCTGACCAGGAGGGTGGCTGGTCAGAGAGTCCTAAGGGAGGTGGTTGGGGAGAAGCTCTAACATGCCCTTGTTTTAAAGAGGAGTGTAAAACCTATGAAAAGCGTGCAGGCCCTTCCTTACAAAGCAAGACGCATTTCAAGACCTTAACACATCCTTTCAGGATTCCTGTTCCTTCTTTCTAGGCTGGAAGATGGGTGACTGGCGCCGATTCCCTGAGCCACGGAGGAAGGACAGACGGAGACTCAGCTGTCCTGTTCCTCCGCACATGCTGTTCCAGGTGTCCCCTGCCTGTGCCAGAGGCACCCGAGGTCCTCAGAGGGCACCCTCCGGGCACCGTCAGCATTAACCTACAACGAGCTTCCTCCTAACAAAAGCGCTGGCCAAGTGGATGGATTTCAGCTGGGAAGTGACACCATCGGGTCACCCGGTATTGAATGATCCCAACAAATCCAGCTCACAGTTCTCCAGCCCCTGGGATGTCTAAAGATCTGGGCCCATGGGAGGAAGAGGGAAGGAACCCACCCATTATTCAAAGCGCTTGTTAAAAAAACAGGGAGGGCGCCCTGCTGAAATGTCAGTGTTTACTTTGAAAGCAGCACCCCACTGCCCGCAGCAGGCCTCTGCTCCGCCCCCAACTTGCTTTCCCCAGCGGGCCCCAGGGGCATGGGCCTCGCAGCTCGGCTTCCCCTGCATCGGTCTGAATCAGCTCAGTGTGAGGCCCCAAAACAGCGTGCAGCCCCCGCCCGCCTCCAGCGGCCTTCAGTTCTCTTTGGTGCCACTTGGAAGGCACCCTAGGAAGCCCAGGTGCTGGCAGCTTCTGCGGGTTCCCAATGACACCCCAGCTGGGCGCCTTGGCTGCGCGCTGTCCCGAACCCCCGCGCCCCCAGGCAGGGCTCACCCGCCAGGGCAGGCTTGCCTCATTTCTGGAACACTCCCTGGAAAGGTTTCTTAGTAACTGCTGTGTTTCTGATTGTTCCCGTTCTATCCGCCCCCAGGCCATCAAGAGTCCAGGATAAAGGAGAGGTTTAGCAGCTGAATAAAGTAAACATGTCAAACACCTCCGTGACGGCCTGGAGGTCACAGTTTTCGGTGTCAAAGACTGACCGCAGGACAAAGATGGCTGCGGGAACAACATCTAAAGCAGTGGTTCTCAACCTTCCTCATGCCGCGACCCTTTAATACAGTTCCTCATGTTGTGGTGACCCCCAACCATAAAATTATTTTCGTTGCTACTTCATAACTGTAATTTTGCTACTGTAAACAATATGTAATTATATATGTGTTTTCCGATGGTCTTAAGCGACCCCTGTGAAAAGGTCGTTCGACCCCCCAAAGGGGTCGCGACCCACAGGTTGAGAACTGCTGGTCTAAAGGGTCTCACAGTTGCTGTCCTAGCCCTTCAGACTCCTAAGGCCGGGGGTCTGACCACCTACAGCTTCCTCCCCCTTTCAGATAACAGGCTGGGGAGAGAGAAGGAGACCATCTGGCCAGGGCCCTCCCTGAGACACCTGCCTTCTCAGACATGCGCCCCCATGTTGTCCTGGTGGCTGGGAAATTAATGTGGAAGTGGTTATGTGGTAGGCAGTTAGACATGAGCAGAGCAAGGACGGTGGGCCAGGTGCAGAAGGGCACCAGGACTGAAAGCCCTGGGTGTCTAGCAGAGGACAATTGTAGGGTGGGACCTCGCTCCCAGGGTGACCTTCCTCCCCTAGCAGCTAGGCTAGCCTATAGCTAGTCATGCGGTTTGGACCCCCTCACCTTTCCTCCCTAGAGACAACATCTAGGCCTCAGTTGTATTTCAGCTCCAGGCCCAGAAAAGCAGCAAAACCAGACCCGTGACCCATGGCTGACCTCAGGACCAGCTGCACTGAATAATGACCCCGTGCCCTGGAGCCCACCAACAATCAGTGGAGGCTCAACCCTGAAAGGACACACCTGGAAAACGGTTGAATATTCTACGGAGATCTTCCCCCGGGATCTCCCCTAACGTCTCCACCCTTAAAACCCTGGAAATGGAGGACCCTCCCGGAGTATGCCCTTGCCTTTCCCTTTCCGCCAGGCGGGTCACCTTGACTTCCTCACTTCTAAGCTCCAAGGGCCCTTTCTTTAACTCTATAACTTGTTTCCTATGCCCATTTCTTCTACAAATTACTTCTTACCTCTGTGATTTTCCATATATTTAAGTCTTGGCTCTGAAATCTTTCCTCGTCAGAACTCAAGTACTGAGGTTGCTGAACCCAGGTCCAGTCTGACCCCACCGGCCTAACACCTGGTGCCGCGGCCATTCCCACCACCCCCAACAGTTACAACAGTTCTGGTGAAAAATGAGATCTAAACCAGCTGGTGGGGATGGAGAAGAATGGGTGACTTTAAGAGTATTTAAGAGGTCGGCTTGACAAGGCGTAGGAGAGGAGACATCCTGGGTTGATCTCAGGTAGAGATTCAGTAGCCTGCTGGCTCCAGGTGGAGGCCGACGCAAAGGGAGAAGGTGGGGTCCCTAAGAGTTCGGGAATGGGTTGTCAGGGGACATTGACCCCCGAAACTGCCGTAAAAGTACAGTTTCTGGGAAGATAACCCACGCAGTTTGCCATTTAACAACCACTGCTATAGGGATAAAAGGGAAAAGCGTCAAGAGCAGAACCTTGGAGAGGAGCGCACCAAAGCCTATGGACTGAGCGAAAGGAAAGGAGGCGACTTAAGGTGAGAACGGTGCCTCGTTTATATTATTTCCTCAATAGATTGCTGTTGAATTAAAGATCACATTTGGTAGATTTCTCTCTCAGATTTGACTGATTTGACTGCTATCAATCGCATGCTAATTAAATCCCGGGTCTTATTTCTAGATCTTTCTAAGCTCTTTCTGACTCTTTCGGAATCCAAGCCTTTCGGGCTCAGGGATTTCTGGGCATTTTCATGTAGAAATTTCTCCCAGGAGCATTTCCTCTCCTCATTATAAGCTGTTGGAGCTAATTAAAGGATGGCCTGTTAGTTGGTCTTTTAGGATTAAAGATTCGCTGGAGGGTTTGTGCTCAGGCTCCCCTGCATCTGCTGTCCGCCTCAATCCCAGGCTTTCGTCCCCAGATGGCCTCTGTGTGGTCTTTCTTTCGGGGAGATGTTACTTCCCTTGCTGATTCAGATAACTGACTGCATCTACATCTTGGAAGTCTGAGCAGTTTGTAGTTGCCCCTGGCGATAGCTGAGCACAGGGGCACGACACCGCCCACATCAGGCTCCGACCATTTCCCCTGGAAGTTCTTCATTAGCCTGGGCCCAAATCCTTTTCCCTAGAGCTGTGCCCACTAATGGAATGAGCGATTTCTACAAACCTTCTACATTAACGCTGAGAATATTTTTCTTTTGTTATTTGCATATTTGTTATTGGGGTACTTGGGGGAGGGGAATGACATTGAGATTAACTTTGATTTTCTATTTAGTTATCTTTTTTTACTAATTATTTTTGTGGTGACTGTAAACACACCAAAAAAATACAGACAGGCTGGTAGAAGAAAATGGAAGCCCCTCCAAGCTCACCCCCCAGAGAGAACTGCTGACCCGTTTTGGTCTACGGCCTTCCATAGACACTCTTCGAAACAGAAGTGGGCTTGCGCTATCCATACTGTTTTGAAACCTGTGTTTTAATTCAGATCTACTATGAACTTTCCCCTACATTAATATATGCTACTTATTTACCTGTATTAACATATTCTTGTACATATAATGTTAATAGTTTGTTTTCCTATTGTGGTGGCTGCATAATAGTTCATTGAATGGCTTGAACTAGGCTTTAGAAAATACATTCTGCAGGAATGAAATGAGAATCCTCACAGTGTGACAGCTCAGTGCCTCCCTGCAGGGGGCCAGCAGAGTCTTCCCTTGATGGCTGGGGCCATTCACAATCAGCACTGTCCAACCACGCCCCATAGGGATGCTTGTGCGGTGCCACTGCAGCTGCATCCCCAGCCTGTGCTGGTTCCGTGGGCCCACTGTGAGCTATGACACAGCTGACCTCCCCCCGGGGAAGCCTCATGCTGACAGATTGCGTAACTGCCCAGGGAAGGTTCAGCCACGCTCCCCACCAGAGGCTGGAAGACACTGCTCAACTCCCCAGGCCAGCAGCCCCTCGGCCCCTCGGGGTTTCTCTGCGAACTCCCCCAGCTTGTGCAGCACCGGGCCACTTACTTCTCCATCCGGTGGTAGAGCATCCCTCGCTGGAAGTAGGCCACCGCCAAGTGTTTGTCTCGGTTAATGGTTCTGGAGAAGGCCTGCGGAGAGAGGGAGGTTTCACCTGGGTCCGAGGAGGAGCTGGCCGTGAGGAGGTGTGGGACGAGCCAGAGGGCGAGGAGGCAACCGGGGGCCTGAGGATGGTGGTGTCTTTCCAGTGACACCGGGATCAGAGCGCCCTGTGCTGTCACTTCCTGATGGCCTGAGGTGAGGCAAGTCACCTCATCTCCCTGGGCCTCAGTGTTCTCCTTAGTGAAATGGGGATATTCATATCTTTCAAGAGCACTGACAGGATTACAATCGTAAAAGTAACTAGATATAAAAATAATTAAAGTGTTAGATACAGTGTTCTATTTGTGTATGGTATACATTTATCACATAAGTATGACACAATTAAAATAATAACAAATATGAATGCATGTCAAATGCCAGGAGTAAGGACTCAAGCAGGACATCAGAGAGAGGCAGAGAGAGGGAGAAGGCAGAGCAGAATGTAGGGAGCCATCCAGTGCGGGAGCAGGAAGGCATGGAGGGAGCCCAGAGCTGAGGGGTGGCCTGCCCAGCCGTGCCAGAGCCCCTGCTGGCATCACTGCCAAGCTCCTCCCCCTCGATGTTCACTTTGCTTCCAGCAGCTCTTAGCATCTGTGGTGCTATTTGCTCAGCCCCCTGGCAGGCCCCTGAGAGGAGGTGCCCGCCCGCCCCTCCCCCCCCCCCCCCCCCCCCCCCCAGACCAGG